GTCAGTTATGTAACGAAGTAGTTATCCTTCATTTTGTGACATAATATAATCACCTCCACGATGTAATGTGATGTGATCAGCCAACCAGTTGTAAGGGGGGATTCCTCGGGGGTGTGGCCAGCATCCAATGTATAAGGTTGTTCTGCAAAGCTCACTGGCTTTTGCTTACTCTGGATCCTGCATCATCTGACCTGCTGTTCTTGAGAATTGTGCCAGGGTCCTGTCATATTGCCTGCTGATTTCAGATTTGACAACTTCTGCTGCCTGTGAGCCAGCAGCCTGCGGTCTGACCTGTTATCTTGGATTCAACAGCCCCTGAAGCTATGTGAGTCTGAGAAGCATAAAGTCTGATGCCTGACCCATGAACTTGGGACTTGCCAGCCTCTAGAACAACATGAACCATTTTCTCGAGATAAATTTCTCTCTCTCTATCAATGTCTCTCCTAATATATATACATATGCGTGTGTGTGTACATATGTATGTGTGTGTGTATGTATATATGTGTGTGTGTATATATATATGCTTCACTGGTTTTGCTTCTCTTGATAATAGCCTAACGCACACTTTAACATGATTTTCGTGGATTTCTTCATCTGTAACAAATGCATCTGTCTTGGCTTTTGAGGCAATGTTAATACATTAAACCTGCAAAAAAAAAAAAAAAACCATTACCTGTGTAAAGGGAAACCTGTCTGAGAAGGAAAAGTCAAATACCTTCCACTGAAACAATTACTTCAGCCTAATAAATATTCTCCGAAAGCCAGAATCTTTGAGACATGAACAGAATCAGAAAATCGTTGGCGTTGCAACCCAAGTAGCAGGTAGTGCAGATGCAAAAGCCAGAAATCATCCCGAGAAGGACAGCAGTCAGAGAAGAAGGTTTAGTCTGCCATTTCCTTCTGCGTTGTTACCGTGTGTAAGTGTATTCTGTACATCGCTACTGTTCTCTGAGTACGTCTATTTTTTACATTTTTCCCTGTTTTGTTCATTTGTTTTTATCTGTCTGTAAATTTTTTCTGGTGAAGAACAACAACCATAAGCTTGGAAGAAGGTAAGAGACACTAATAAATTCCTTTATAGTCATGAAAATCTGGGAAAACACACATTTTCCCCTTGACCTGAGAGCTTTTATTTTCCTCCTTATCTTTTAACTTTTAGTTTTTGCTTTCCTGTTTGTCATTTTGATACATATTATTCCAATTTTCAAAATCCAGTCTTCAATTCCCTGAAATTCTTTCCATCAAAATTTCTTGTTTTCCAAAAATAGAGAAGCCTTTCCTCATTTCACATGTTCAATGTGTGTATAAAAGCAAAAACATTCTTCTCACACTTTTTTTCTTAAATATTTTACTTAAGGCTGCTAACTTTATCTTCTAATAATGTTGACAGTTTTCATTTTTTCCTTTTTGTTTGAGATAGTCACATTTTTGTGATTATAAATTTTTTAATTTTTATAATTATTTCCTTTTTTGTTTTCTTTTTTTTTTAAAAAAAAGCTTATTCTTTCCCAGCCATGGACAAGAGAGTGAAAATTTTATCTTTGAAAGAAAATTTTAATGTTGCCAAAATGATAACCAAAGAGAACCACACCATAACGAAGCTGTAATTAAGTTCAAGAGCAGCAAAATGCAAATTCCTTCAATTATGAAAGAAAAGAATAAAAAAAATGAAAAATACACAAGCAGCACCAACAAAAATGCCAAGAAAGGAAGGAACTGAAATTATGCAGAAATCAGCAAAGCTGTTGTTGAGTGTTTCTTGAGGCTCCACCAAAAATCTTCCCATTTCAGGACCTGTCTTGCCAGCAAAAGCAAAGGAAATGACCAAATTTTCAAAGCTGATGGATTTTCAACATCTAACTGGTGGGTTCAGAGCTTAAAAAAAAAAATAAAAAAAAAGGAGTTACTTGCAATGTATCTTTTTGGGAGCAAAAGGGGTTAGACATGCAAAATCAGAATGCAATAAATTACATTTATAGTGACGTTTCAGAAAATAGGGTAAGTGGCATGCCTCACATTGATGTTGACAAAGAAATTGCCACAGAAATGGATGATATAAACCTGCAAGAAATTGTGGACCTGCAATCTAGAGATGATGATGATGAAGATAATGAAGACCTACCATTAGAAGAGCCTGACCTTTAAGTCAAACAAGTTTTCTGCTGTATAAAACTTTGAAGACATTTGGAACAGTTAAAGGAGACCAAGGGTTACTTGATAAGGCTATGGTCTTAGATATTGTTTCAATAATTTCATCAAAAAAATAAGACAAACTAAATAGTTAACATTATATGTTTTTATGAAAAAGTGAATTTTACCCATATTTTTGTTTGAATAGTATATGCACATCTTTGTACATAATTTGGATACATGGAAATCAAAAAAATGGCTTAGGTTCTGTTCCAGTCCTACAAAATTGAAAAGAAACACTTTCTGGGTGTTTATGAGCTTGTTGTTGTTAGGTGCTGTGGAGTCCATTCTGACTCATAGTGACCCCATGAACAACAGAACGAAACACTGCCTGCTCCTGTGCCATTCTCACAACCATTGCTATGTTGGAGCCCATTGTTGCAGCCACTGTGTCAATCCATTTCACTGAAGGTCTTCCTGTTTTTCTCTGACACTCAGCTTTAGTGAGCATGATGTTCTTCTCCAGGGACTGATCGCTCCTGATAACACGTCCAAAGTACGTTAGACGAAGTCTTGCCATCCTCATTTCTAAGGAGTATTTTGGCTGTACTTCTTCCAGGAGAGTGACAGAAAAGTGGTAAGAGTGCACCCTGTCAAAGGCAGAAATTTTGCGACACCAGGAAAAACAGGTTTCACTGTATATGAAGTAAGGTAGGGGTCCAACGTAATATTTTGTATGTGGATATCCAACTGTACCACCATCATTTGTTGTTTAAAAGGCTGTTCTTTCTCCATGAAATTGTCTTGTCACCTTGTTCAAAATCATATGATCAGAAATGAAAGGGTTTATTTCTAGACTCTCAATTCTCTCTTCTCTTCTCTTCTATATTCTATTCCATTGGTTTTCACATCTATTCTTTTGTTGGAAGCCACCTTCATACAGAGTTTTCCTTCTGACTTTCAAATCTGAATACCTTTTACTACTTTTCCTTGCCTAATTGTTTTCACTAGAATACCCAGTATACTGTCGAGTCAAGTGCTGCAAACAGGAATCCTTGTCTTGTTCCTAATCTTAGGGAAACATTCAGACTTTCACCATTAGTGTAATGTTAGCTGTGGGGTTTTGTAAATGTTCTTTTCATGTTTCTATTTTTAGTTTGCTGAGTGTTTTCATCATGAAAGGATAGTGGATTTTCTCAAATGCCATTCCCTAATTAATTAGGGTGATCATTTGTTTTCTGTCATTTATACTATTATTTTCAGATGTTAAGCCAACATTGCTTTCTCTGGATAAATCCATCTTGGTCATACTCTATATACTCTGTATGTTGCTTGATTTTGATTGGTTAGTATTTTGTGCAAGATACTTCTTTTTATCTTCTAACGAAATGTTGGTCTGTGATTCACACTTGTGTTCTTAGGGTAAAACTGACCTCATAGAATAAGATATTAAGTACTTCATTTTGGTCTCTTTTTTTCAGAAAATTTATGAAGGACTGATGTTAATTCTTTTTGAATGTTTGTTACAATTCACCAGTGAACCCATCTAGGTTTGCAATTTTATTTGTAGAAAGCTTTTTAATTGCTAATTCATCATCTTTATGTTTTACAGGTCTGTTTAGATTTTCTATTTCTTCCTCTGTAAGTTTATGTAATTTGTGTCTTTCCAGGAATTTGTCTATTTCTTATAGGTTATCAAATTTATTAGCATATTGCTGTTCATAGTATTCTCTTATATTCTTTTTTATTTCTGTAATACTTGCAATGATATCCACATTTTTATTCCTGACTTTAGTCATTTGAGGAGTATCTATTTTTCTTTCCACTATTCTAGCTAAATATTGTCAATATTGCTAATATTTTTAAGGTATCTGCATTTTGTTTCATTTCTTTTCTGTATGGTTAGTCTATTATCCTTTTCATTTATTTCTTTTGTACTCTTTTTTATTTTCTTCAAATGCTTGCCTTGGGTTGGTTTTCTTCTTCCTTTATATTTTCTTGCCCGTATATGGTAGATAGTTATAGATACCTGCCATCAAGTGCACTGGGACACATGGTGACCTTATACACAGAACAAAGCTTTTCCTAATCTTGCATTATTCTCAGGATTGCCCGCATGTTCAAGTTCATTGTTGTGGCTGTTGTGCCAATCCGTCTTACTGAGGTCTCCTTGCCCTTACTGGGCCTCTGCTTCGCCAAACATGTACTCCTTTAGCAGTAGATTCCACCTGATGATGTGTCTAAAGCATGCCAGTTGGACAATATTCTATTCTGATTCAAAAGGTTTTCAGTGGCTAATAGATGACCAGGCCTTTCTGCATAATCTATCTTAATCTTGAAGTCCCACTGAAATCTGTCCACCGTGGGTGACTGTGTTGGTATTTGAAATATGAGTGTCATAGCTTCCAGCATTATAACAACACACAAGCTACCACAGTGTGACAAATTGACAGACGGGTGGCGGGTACATATGTAACATGCATTAAATGTCATCAACTTTCCTTAAAAAGCATGTATCCTTGACACATACGACTGAATTAGTTAAATCAGTTTAATTTGTTGATATCTGTCTAAAGTTACTTTTTTGAAGCAATGGAGTTTGGTAAATGAAAGATGGAGGAGAAAGTTTTAGAGATTGTGTCCTCTAGGGAATCAGGTTTGGTTGAATATTTGGAGAAGAAATCTACGAAAAGACACAGGGAACAAGACTTAATTTGGTAAGGATTTATTTTCAGAATCTTTAGGTATTACATTATTACTTCTACAGAGCAGCTCTATTAGGTAACTATAATTATATTCATCATGTTACAGGTGATAGAACTGAAGCATAAAAATTTCAAATGAAAACAATTGATTACTTATCTGGCAGTAGCTAATGTAAAGTGCTTTTCAAATAACCTGTGAAGAATACACTATTTCTATTACATTATAAGGGAAGAAGACTGAGTCAAAACAACCATGTAACTAGCTCACAGAGCTAATAGGGTAGAATTAGAATTTGTACTCAAGTGGTCTGGCTCCATTGGACGTTGCTCACGTCATTAAACTTTATATTATGCTGCTTCCTCCCCATCGGTACGTTGATGAAGGACACTAACAAAAGTGTCCATCTGACGCTCTTCACCACTACACAAGACTGCCCTGCAGTCTACTTCGGAATAGAGGAAACAAAAACCTAGGAAGAAATATTAATAAAGTATTGAAAATCTTTTCATTTCCCAGTGTTTTGTTATTAAAATAGACACCTGGTGGCTTGACCATGTGACTTATTTTGACAAAGACTGTGGGTGAGAAAGTGAAAACATATGAGTTGTTGCCCAGGCATCAAGACATACAGTTCTGCTTGCCCCTCTGAGAACTGATGAATTCTGCTATGAGAAGGATGTGCACCCATGTTCTGAGCCCACTGTTCTGAGAATAAGATATATGAAAAAAATCTGAGCTAAATTAGTGTTGTGGAACTAAGACCATCTAAGCCCAACCTATAACAACTGAAACCCATCCCAACAACAAATGGGTGAATGAGAAAAAAAGGCTTATTTTTTTTGAATGTCAATGCAACTTTGTGATTGTCTATTATACAATTTCAGTGATCTGATACACTTACAGCTTATGTATTATATAAAATGAAATTTTAATCTAATTTAAAAGATAAATGTATATATCTATTTATTTTGCTAATAATAGTCAATGATAAGCTCCCTTCCTCTTTTAATTGAATGATGGTGGAAAGGTCACTCAATGATTGATAAATTACTAAAATTTATCTTGAATTCTGCAAATAAGTAGCTGTTTAAATCAAACAAATGCTTTTATCGTTTTAATTCTTTTTTTCTTCCGCATTTACCATTTTAGTTTTTCATGATGATAAAATGTGAAAGAAGGAAGAAGATAGAGAATGAGTAAAACACCTTCCAAAATGTCTGATCCAGTGGAGGAAAACACAGAGATGTGACAATTATCAAAGGAGGCTGAACATCACCCAATGAAAATATCAATCTCTACCAAAAATGGAACTAAGTAGTGATATAATGTTGCACTAAACTGGAATTTGAAGATACCTATTGGTTCTATTCTCTGAGCAAGTGGAGCAGATACAAAGGTCTGTTATATTGCAATTTTGTGGTGTGTCACAATGGTGACTTTGTGTGCCAGATTCACAGTTTATTCTCTCCCATCTCCAAATCTATCCTATCCTTTGCCCTGTTTCATAATAATAATGAAGCTATAGAGTATAAACTTTGCTCCCTTGCCAACTGGCATGATGTTGCACTCTATCAGTAGAAGCTGTTGGGGAGACACTGCAGGAGCAAGCGTTCTTTTTCCTGGATTTGTGATGCTGCTTCTCCTTTTGCTGCTGCTGTGGGGTGTGGAGGGGGCTGCCAGCTGGATATATGCCAGACATCCATTGTATTCAGCCGCCAGTAACTTTTGTTGCCAATCCCTGTCATAGTTCCCTGCCCTCTAGCCTCTTCCCACTGGCCCTTTGGTAGGGGAGTCTTTCTGATTGCCAGTCTGGCTGAGATGCCATCCGCACCAATTCCAGTCTCCTGGCTTGGACCTGCTCTGTCCCAGGACAACCCAGTGAACACCGCTGTGGTTCAGTGGCCTCCGGCCCCACAGGTCTCTGATTGGTCTGAAACTCACCTATCAGGTTTGTTCCTTCTTTGGGTATTCTCTTTCAGCGCTAAGGTATTCTTTAGCGTTTTCTTTCATCCTATATTAGTTAACTATCCCCTGCAAATAGTTAATAATTATTGACATAAACTTTCTCTGGTTTCTGTTTCTTAACTGGGCTCTGACTTACACACCTTCCACTAGGGATTGTTGTGTCCTCATTTTAGACAACTTCAAGGGCCAGGAGAAACCAACTGCTCTTAAATGTGTATGAATTTATTCACTTTATTGAGGACATGGTAATAATTGTTCTTGATAATATTATCATTTGAAATGTATACATAATTTATGTAAACAAAGAGCAGAAGCTTAATAAATATATAATATGCATCTGTGTATATGAGTAACATAAGTAGGACACAAAAGGATGAATGCATGGTCCTACTTATATGAAATATCTGGATGAGGCAAACGTATAAAGACGAAAATTTATTGGCAGTGATAAAGGCAGAAGGGAAGGAGAAAGGGGGAGTCATAGCTAGGAGACACTGCGCTTCTGTTAAGGGTGTTGGGAAAATGCAGAGACGGATAGTGGGGATGGATACACAACATGATGAACTTAACTAAGGTCACTACATTCTACGTGTAAAAATGTTGAAAAGACAAATTTCTGATTATACATATATTTTTGAAGCTAATGTAAATTAAAAATGTAAAATAATTGTACTTAAAAATAGGTACTGCTTTTGAAGTAACTAAAAACAGGTGTTCATAGATGTGTAATAGCATTATACAAAACTTAGGTAAACTATCATACCTGGTGCTTACAAAAATATGATTTTTCTTCAAAACAGGGTTTAGAAGAAAACGTGTTATACATAAAATTAAAAAATGGGCAATTCTGGTCCATCTTTGGAGATGCTGAAAACCTGGAATACAGAGAATAACATTTTTTTAAGAACAGATACATGTATATTTAAATATATATGAAAATAATATTCATGGAGTTATCCTTTATCATAATGCATTAATATTGATAATATATAAATTAATAATATAATAAATATTTCATTCTTAAATAATTTATGTAGACTTATATATCTAAATCTGAGTATTTCCTGTACTATTTCTCTATGAAGACTTAAATAATTTTAGGTTTATAATTGTTCATATAGTGCTTTTTCTCAAGTTATAAAATACAGGAGTTCTCAAAAATCTTACAGTTTGGAGGAGACAGTTGAACCGCCATTATATCCAATCCATGTTAAAACACTGAAGGAGCTAATGAAATTCTAGGAGAAAACAATTTTAAGAGTAATCAGTTATGTGTTATTACAATAATTAATTTATTACTATAACAAGTAAACTGAATTCTTTATTACTGTACCATCATTAAAAAAAAACCAAACCCATTGCCATGGAGTTGATTCTGACTCACAGAGACCGTATACAATAGGGTAGAACTGCCCCATAGGTTTTCCAAGGAGCGTCTAGGGAATTTGAACTGCCGACCTTCTGGTTAACAGCCGAGCTCTTAACCACTACACCACCAGGAACCTTGGACTGTATACAGCCCCTCAATTTGCTCACATAGTGAGTGGTACACACAGGACACGTTATAGACAGTGATTAGTGTGACTGAGTTAAAGAGTCAGATTGACAAAAAAAATACTTTCAGGGCTCTGGACACTGATCAAAGTCAAATAATAATTTGAAAAGGATTTATTCTTGGAAAGCTGCTAGAGATTGAAGTAAGAATTGCACACATCCGCAGTCTTCTTGCCCAGGCTGCTCCCCTTCTCTTCCCCACCCCAGTTCAGTGAGAATAACTGCAGAGTTTACAGCATGGGGCAGGCTGCAGAAGTCAGCAGTGTTACTGCCAGAGGGGACAGATGTGATTGGAGGTGAGAGGTGAGGATCACAACCCACAGGTTTTCCAGGGTGAAGGACTGAAATTTATGGGAAATGACTGAGTGAAGGCTGAGTTTGTGGTCCCCATGGGAGTGAGTAGAGTACCAGCCATAAATTTAACAGAAAGATCCTAAAACTGAGGGTCCAATAAAGGGGATAACATTAGTTGTCTATATATTCTTGGCTGACTGAATAAATACCACGTTTTCAGGGGAGACCCCGGAGTTCCCAGTGAAAAGTACAAGCGAATGGAGACTTGAGAACTCACTGCATAGTTATGAGCACTTCCCAACATACACACACTAACACACACACACACACCACATCAGTGACAGAAGGAGGAAGTCCTATAGAGCTGAAGTCTTGGAATAGGACCTCTACTTAAATCATTGGCTAACAACAAAGCTCTGTGGTCACAGAAAAACTCTTAGGAAGCCAGGTTAAAAATAAAAATAAAACATAACAGAAATTACAGTAGAAAATTGGCAAAGGACTTGGATAGACATTTCATCAAAAAAGAAATACAAATAGACAACAAGTACATGAAAAGATATTCCAAGTCATCAGGCATTACAGAAACGCAAAGCAAAACCACAGTGTGCTCTCACTTCACACCCCTAAGATGGCACTGATTTCAAAAACAAAAAACAGCGGGTGTTGTTGAGGATGTGGAAAAATTGGAAACCTCATCCCTTGCTGGTGGGATGGTAAAAAGGTGCAGCCAAGTTGGAAAATAGCTTCCATGGTTACTCAGAAATTTAAACGTAGAATTACTATCCTATCCAGCAATTCCCCTGCTGGGTATATACCCAAAAGAATTGAAAGCAGGAACGCAGATACTTGCACACTGGTGTCCATTGGAGCACTATTCACAATAGCTAAAAAATTGGAAACAACCTGAATGTCCATTGACAGATAAATGAATAAACTAAATGTGGTACATACATACAATGGAATATTACTCAACCATAAAGAGAAATTAAGTCTTGAAACATGCTACAACATGGATGAACTTTGAAAACATAATGCTGAATGAAATAAGTCAGAGAAGGACAAAAATTCTATGATTACACTGATGTGAAATTTCCAGAAGAGGCAAGTATATATAGACCAAAGCTTATTGTGGGTTATATGTGTAGAGAGGTGGAAGAGAATGGAAACGGGGAACCCAATGTTTAGGGGACACGCAGCTTCTGTTTAGGGTGATGAGGAAACTTGGGAATACGTAGTGGTGACAAGTGAAGAACACAACAAATACAATTGATGTCACTGAGTTGTACATGTGAAGAATGCTGAAACGGCAAATGTTTTGTTACAAATATATTCACCACAATAAAAAAAAATTGAAAGTGTTTTCACTAGAAATCACTCTAGTGAATGCCTGACTAAGGTAATGACTTAAGCAAGATTGCTGAAAACAAGGTCAATATACAAACATACATCAGCATAGTGTGCTCTGTTAGCAGCATCAGAAGAGGAAAGATAAAAGATAACTAGAGCCAAAGTGAGTCAAATTGTACAAGACTTCTATCTAAAGTACATAACTGTACAGAGAACGTAAACAGAGTATGGAGAAGGTAAAGGAGCCCTGGTGACGCAACGGTGAAGCACTCAGCTACTAACTGAAAGGTCAGCAGTTCAAACTCATCAGCGGCTCCACAGAAGACCTGGCAATATGCTCCCGTAAAGATTGCAGACAAAGGAACCCTATGGGGCAGTTCTACTGTGCCCGATAGCATCCCTGGGAGTCAAATCGACTCAATGGCACACAATAACAACACAGACATATTAATACATAATAGTATAAAGATGTCAATTGTGAACAATTAATCTATTGCTTAAATATAATTTCAATAAAGTCGCCTCATGATTGTGTGAAAATGTTTATAAAGGCACTAAAAGGGCCAGTGCAACAGGATCTTCTTGAAGAAAACTGAGGAAATTATTTGTTGCAATGAGTATCAAGGTTTAACAAAAAGCTTTAGTAAGCATTACCATGTGTTTTTGGTGCAAGAGAAAAATAGAAAAATGAAACACAGTCCCAGTGTCCCTAAATACATCACATGCAGACACACACAGACACACACATGAACTTGATTTATGACAAAGGTGGCAGAGAGAAGAATGGAGAAATGGTCATCTTTGCTACATGTTACGCTCCATCCATTGAATAATCATGTAGACAAGTATGAACTTCACTTCTCTCACACTTCATCAAAAATACAGCAGCACAAAAAATAAATTCTTAATGAATTGTTGATCTAAATGTAAAAGGTGAAAAAAGAGAAAAACAAGATAATTCCTACAGATAAATTTAAGTGAATATCTTCATAGGCTTTGAGTAATTTCTGAAATAGGTCCAAAATAGCACTAACACCCACAAAATTGCCGAATTGGACTATTGTAACATTAATAAATGTTGTTCCTTAAAAGACTCAAACTATTAACATAAAAATATAAGTCACTAGAAAAAAGAATATGTTTAAATCTCATAAAATCAAGAAAGAGTTCATATTCAAACTATGTCATCAACTTATTGGAAGGAAAAGACAATCCCACAGGAAAAATGGACAAGAGACAACAGGCACTTCACCAAGAGGGCATCCTAATGCTAACAGCACATAGACAGGTGTTCAGTCTAACAGTCATCCGGAAAATGCATTATTAATATCACAATGATACTGCTATAAAACCCTAAAAACTTCCAATATTAAAATTCCTCGTAGTACTAATTCTTGATGAGTGCAAGGATCAAGGAATACATTCAGATGCTATTGAATAAAACAGGTACATGTAAAAATAAACTAGGACACTATTAAATAATTTTACAAATCTTGCCATGTACATATACCTATGAACCTGAAATTTCATTCTTACACAAACAGGTAAAATGTGGACAAAACACATACACAATGGTGTATGGAGAATAATTAATTATTTTTAACAGGCAAGTGTTAGAAATAATCCAAATATCCATGCACAGTAAAATGGATTACAAAATATTATATTCACATCATACAGCAGTGAAAATTAGCAAACTACAGTTAACTGCAACAAGATAGATGAATTACGTCAATGTCTTATATGAGTGAGAGGAAACAGACCAAAGAGAAAAGGCATACTGTGTGATTTCATTGATATTAAGTGGAAGAACAATCAAAGCTATTCTATAATATATAAAAGAGAATAGTGCTTTAGGGAGGAGAGAGAAGTACTGAGAGCAGACACAAGCAAGTGGCTTCTAGGGGACTGTCAATGTCTATTTCTTAAACTTATTTGTAAATAAACAACAAAAAAAAGCCTCCAACTTTGTCGCCACAGAGTCGATTCTGACTCAAGGTGACCTCGCGTTTCACGGACTAGAAAGGAGCTCCACAGGTTTTCCTGGCTGTCTGTAATCATTTTTTTGCTTTTGTAAAATTTTATTGTGTTTTAAGTAAAAGTTTACAGGGCAAAGTAATTTTTCATTCCAAAATGTATACACACCTTGTTTTGTGACATTGGTTGTAATCCCCACAATGTGTCAGCACTGTTTCCCTTTAAACCCTGGGTACCCCGTGTTCTTTGTCTGGGTTTCCTGTCCCTTCTTGCTTTCTAGTCTTTGCTTTTGGGCAAATGGTGCCCATTTGGTCTCATATACTTGATTAAACTAAGAAACACGTTCCTTACGTGTATTATTCTTTGTTCTATAGGATTACTACAAGTTGCAATCGACTCAACGGCAACGGGTTAATCTTTGGCTGAAGGAGGACTTTGGGAGTGGCTTCAGTTCTGACTTGACAGAGTGTCCTGGCGCCACAGTCTCTGGGGTTCCTCCAGTCTCTGTCAGACCAGTAAGTCTGGTCTTTTTGAATTTTGTTCTACATTTTTCTCCTGCTCTGTTCAGAACCCTCTATTCTCATCCCTGTCAGAGCGGTTGGTGGTGGTAGCCGGGCACCATCTAGTTCTTCTGGGCTCAGGCTAGTGGAGGCTGTGGTTCATGTAGAAGCAGATTGCTAGGACTTTCTTTCTGGGTGATGCTGAACTGTTGACTTTTTGAAGATCAGTGGAGTGCTTAAACAATGCACCACCAGGGCTCTTTACTCTCTGAGAGGGTATTTTTAAATACTTTGGTCATTCACTCTCTAGGAGCCCTGGTGGCACAGTGGTTAAGCGCTTGGCTTAGAATCAAAAGGTCTGGAGATAGAACCCACTAGCCCACCCTGTGGGAGAAATATCGTGCAATCTGCTTCCGTAAAGATTTACAGTCCTGGAAACCAGAGGGGGCAGCTCTAGGGTAACTATGAGCTGGAATCAACTTGATGGCACAGGGTTTTTAGTCACTTTCTGATCAATCTGCACAATTATATAGTTGTTTTCTTTTTTTTTTGACATGAATAAATAAAATAACAAAGTATATTTTAGAAAAAAAGCATTTACAGAAGTATTGTTTTTCATGAGAAACAGTACTAAAATAAGCAAATGTGCATTAATAGCCTAACATTATAAATAAAATATTGTGAAATCAATTGAGTATTAAACAGCCTTGATAATAAATACACTACAACTGTATACTAAAATATGCATGAATCCTACAAATATTGACTGAAATCAAGTTTCAATAACATGTTTGAAACATTCAAAAATCTTACCTTTTCTTCTTCATTGTCTATGTAAAGCAGATTAGATTTCTTAGAATCACAGTCCAACCAACTTTTATTCCATGATTTTCTCTCAATACTAATGTAATAACAATTGTTGGAATACATAAACCAGGCCTTTGGACATCGACCACAGTGATCCCCTAAGAAAGATTATGAGTTAGTACCAAAATGATTTGAATTAACAAATAAATATTAATTGACATATTTTCATAGGTACAAACAAATATGTACATAACCAAGATGCATACCTTCACAAACTGGTACATGTAAAACAAAACACAAAATGCCATGTATATATATATGCACAGAAAGTCAACATCTTGGACCCTAATTTATGTTCCCATATAAGGCAAACAAACAAAGACTACATGCTGTGCATGACCTGAAAATGCACATGTACTGCCTTTATTTGATTTTGGTGGGTATATATATAATGGTCTATTGATTTCTTAAAAATATTTCATCTTATTGTTACACAAGAAGGAATGCCCTCCTATTCTTTATTTTAGAAAATATATTGCTCAATTTTAGTTTTTAAAATCTATTATCATTTTTGTAAGCCCTAATATAAGGACAAAATAATAGTCTGCACTAATATCAGAACTTCATAAATGGTCACATACCTTTCTCAGTTCTTGTTATTGGAGAAGAATTGTTCTGTTCCGGTTTTACACTATCTAAAAAAATTTACAGTAATTCTTAGATAGATTAATATGCTATAAATCAATCATAATATTTCATTTTCCTATTTGAAATGTGATGTGTTTATTATTAGAATAGTGGAATAAAACTAACCAAAAACAGTTAATAAAGTCATAAAGTCTTTTGGGAAAAATTTAATTACTGAAATTCAGTTCTTACACATGCAGGTAACAAGTGGTCTTTGGGGAAAAACAGCCTAATGAGCCAAACTTTACCATCTCTTACAGTATTTGATACAACCACTCTGAAAAATTAACTAGTATTGTTCAATAATTTTGTTCAGACCCCTAAAAAATATGTGGAGAATGTATATATATGTTATATAAGTGTATATATATATATACACACACACACACACACACACACAGATATATACACACACATGTCTGTATATAAATATATATATATACATTCAACATCATTGTTATTTATATTTTTTACAAATTCACAATAATCTTTCCATATTTAGTCCAAATATAAACATTGAGTCCAAATACATACATTATACTCAAAGTTCTCTTCCTTAATATTCTTAATAATTAGAGGCACTTACAAATCATTAAAGCAAAAAGTTTCCTTATTATCTTTTGAAAACTTACAAGGAGTAATAACTTTGATTGTCATGGTTATTACACTGGCCATCAAGACAAGGCAGAGGAGTCCCAGGACCCCAGCAATGAGCCTCCCAGGAGGTGCTGGAAAATCTGCAGGGAGAAATGGGAATACTGAGAAAGGGAAGACGGAGCAAATGGTTTGGGAGCTTTGCATACAAGAGGAACCCTATGCACAGACAATTATATGCATGAACGCAGGGACTGAACCCACCTCCACCTTTGTAATCTTTCTCTACACCACTGCATTTTCAGTAAACATACTGCTCCATGAATTGCTGGTCAGAAACTACAGATTTCAACAAGGCCTGAAGAAAACGAGTCTTCAGATTCCATGTTAGAATATCATATCTGCAATTTGAGTTCTGATCCCCAAAAATGAAAATATGTGAGCCTGTTCCCCAGATCTGACTATCCCTTCCTCTCTCAATTTTTCCCGTTTCCCCACATCTCTGCTCTCAACTGCACAGCCTAGAGCAGTTATATTGAAGGTCCAGTAAATGCTTTACCTTTGCAGTGGGATTTCTTGTCATTTCCTTGAAGATCCTGAGCTGCATTATGAAACTTCAGTTCCACATAGGTTATATGCTGCTCACTGTCTGAAATGGAGCAGCTATTTTTGCTCCTAGGTTTGGTTTGCTGCCTCTTTGGGTGTTCGGCCAGTTTGACTTCTGAGTAGATTACTCTTTGATTACTCATCTCTGCAGCTGAGTGGTGTCACGGACTGTGCTTTAGAGTAACTGTGCTTTAAGGAGTCAGTATGTGGTGCAGACAATGACAAGATGTCTGTGCACACAAACTGGGCTGTGGGGGATGGGAGTAAGGCGAGGATTAGTGGTCATTTGCAGCTGACGAGTCTAGTTCTGATCCGGATTTACTTTAGGCTTTCCACAAGGGTCCAGTGTGGAGTAAGTACTATTTTTTTAGATATCCTGCATTTGACAAAATATTATTTTCTGGAGTAATGGAAAGCAATGCATTTTTGAGGATAAAGAAGTTCATAAATTAAAATATCATTATTTATTTAAAGTCAGAGTCCATGGAAATATCGTAAAAATCATTATATTACCTGTTTTAAAATTTAGAATTCTGTATTTGGAAAAAAAAAAGTATCATTTTTTATGAAAATTTAAAACGTAATAATGATTAAAGACTAAGTAATCCAAAAATGAGGGGATTGAAAAGTTAGCATATATATCGATTTGTTCCTCTAGATTACTTTGATTAGTGATACACATGTATTTACTTAAAGGAGATGAAGTCTTATCCTAGGTCTTTTTCTTGTCCGTGGATAGGCGGACAGTTCTGAGAAATCACTAAGAATTTAAGGAAAAATTTTACATGTTGGAATGTGTTACCTAACACACTTTATTTATGCACATACTAAAAATACTAGAAGCACCACAAAGAAAAATATATATATTTTTAAAAAAACACTTCTTTTATGGGAGACTTTGTCAATATTTAATGGCTAGAATAGGAGGTAATAAGACGATGAATGAAAATGTCGACCATTTCTGTAGGAACACCCTTGATTTAGACGTCCAGGAAGATCCTGTGTTTGTCAAGGTCAATGAGGGTCGCTTTAGTTGGGGAATTAATTACAATAATTCAGGTCATGTAATTTAATTTAGTCAAGGGGCTCCAAAGAAAGTGAAATTTAGAATTAAATTTCAGTTTTTAAACCTACAATGTTTGACCTTTAGAAATTTGCCCAGTTAAAAAAATAGAAATGATACTATATAAAAATAATGGATGTAATACACTTAACACTCAACCTGGCCCTAAGAAGCACTCAGTAGATGTTTGCCTTTTTAATTATTATTTTAGTCACAAAGGCCGTGATGTTTCTGATCTTTTTCAGTTAGAAATTGTAAAATAACTCATTGGATACGATTGTCTTGTATCAGTGTGATTCATTTTTAAAAATGGTTCTTAATTTTTAAAAACCTTTTGTCATTAATTATTACATTCAGATTACCATTTTACGGAAGCTGTCTCATCCTGCTTTTACTCGAAAATAAAACTGAATGAATTTAATCTAAGTGGATGAGGAATTATGTCTGAACTTGCATCATTCAATTAGTTTCTTTTTAAAAATATAGTTCTAAAGACTGAGCTCAAAATAAAATAATATATTATTATTCAAACACAAATTAGACCAACTAAAATAGCCAAATTAATTGCTCATTGTCATGATACTTATGGAATTTCACTTTAAATGATGTTAATAAACACAACTGTGTGTGTGTGAATGTATGTGTGCCCTTGAGTAATTCTCCAAGGACAGTAATTTGAATAACTTAAGAAATTTTCAAACATATTTGATGTTCGCTCTTTACCCCGACTTATTCAAATAAAGACTCCATTGTTCGTCTTTGATTCGACTGTACATTAACAGTCCCTCAGGGTATCATGCACAGCATTTATAATCTCCCACTAAATGAGCTGGGCTAGAACACAGAGAGGAGAGCAGTGGTACATACCTTCTGTCGGGCACAAAGCCATGCATCCTTTAGTGGGGAAGTCTGGTCAATGTCCTACAGAGGCCTGCTACAGCTGGATAATAGGAAACCAAATACCAAAAAAACCCATCGCAATCGAGCTGATTCAGGAGAAATCTAAAGACATTAATACAGTCCAAGAACAAACAATAACTGTGCTCTTCACAGACTGTCCTGTGAGGGCTCAGACTGAGGCAGAGTGGAAAAAGTAGATGGTTCATCAATGTGTTAGTTAATGTTTGAACAGGAAATCCTCACACTTGGGGTATTTTGAAGTCAGTTTATCTCATCACACACCTCCAGAACTTAGGAAATGTTGAGTTCCTATTGAAAGGACAAAGGAGATTTTTAAAGATATCATACAGATTTTCCTTTTAAGGGTGCTTTGATAAATTGTTCTCATATTCTATACCATTTGAGGGGGATAAAGGGCTTGCCCAGCCATACAGTTAAATAATCCCATCTCATCACAAGCTATTTAATCTCAGGCCATGTTACAATTATTAAATTTCATACTCCTATTGTTATTTTCATTCTTTCTTGGTTTTTATTGTACTTTAGATGAAGGTTTACAAATAGTTTGTCATTAAACAGTTAGTACCCATATAGTTTTATGACAGTGTTTACGACAGGTCAACACGCTCCTTATTTTACCTTTTTTTTTTTTGGATGAAAATGTACGTAGCCAAAGATACACCATTTCAAAAATTTCTACATGCACACTTCAGTGACATCGACTACGCTCTTACAATTGTGCTGCTATTCTCACTTTAGATGAAGGTTTACAGAACAAAAGAGTTTCTCATTAAACAGTTACTACACAAGTTGCCCTATGACAGTGGTTAACAAACTCACCGCACATCAACACTATCCTTACTCAACCTTGGGGTCCCTATCACCAGCTTTCCTGTCCCCTTCTGCTTTCTAGTCCTTGTCCCTGGACAGTTGTGCCCATTAGTCTCATTTTGTTTTATGGGACTGTGTAATCTTTGGCTGAACGGTGAGCCTCGGGAGTGACTTCGTTACTGAGCTAAAAGAATGTCATGGGGCCATACTCTCGAGGTTTCTCCAGTCTCTGTCAGGGCAGTAAGCCTGATCTTTATTTGTGAGTTTTGTAGAATTTTGTTCTACATTTTTCTCCAGCTCTGTCAGGACCATCTGTTGTGATCCTTGTCAGACTAGTCAGCGGTGGTAGCCAGGAACCATCTAGTTGTACTGGACTCAGTCTGGTGGACTCCGTGGTAGTTGTGGTGTATTAGCCCTTTGGACTAATGTTTTCCAAGTATCTTGTTTTCTTCATTTTCCCTTGCTTCCAAAGGGGTGAGACAAGTGGAGTATCTTAGATGGCTGCTCACAGGCTTTTAAGACCCCAGATGCTACCCACCAAGGTAGAATGTAGAACATTGTCTTTATAAACTGTGTTATGTCAATTGAGCTAGATGTTCCCTGAGATCATGGTCCCCACAGTCCTCAACCCAGCAATTCAGTCCCTCAGGAAGTTTGGATGTGTCTATGGAGCTTCCATGACCTTTCCTTATTCAACTTGCACTGGTTTCGCCAGTATTGTGTACTGTCTCATCCTTCACCAAAATTACCACTTATCTATTGTCTATCTAGTTCCCCACTACCAGTCCCATCCCTCGTAACTAACAGAGATTCTTTTTGTGTATAAACATTTCATGAGTTTTTACACTAGAGTTCTCATGCAATATTTGTCCTTTTGTGATGGATTATTTAACTCAGTATAGTGTCCTCCAGTTTCATCCGTGTTAAGCGATGCTTCACAAATTCATTGTAGTTCTTTATGGTTGCATAATACCCTATCATGTGTATGTACCATAGTTTGTTTATCCATTCATCTGTTGATGGGCATCTAGGTTGTTTCCGTCTTTTTGCTATTGTGAATAACGCTACAATGAACATGAGTGTGCATATGTCTATTCATGTGATGGCTCTTATTTCTCTAGGGTATATTCCTAGGAGTGGGATTGCTGGATCATATGGTATGTCTATTTCTAGCTTTCTAAGGAAGCACCATATCATTTTCAAAAATGGATGTATCATATTACATTCCCACCAGCAGTCCATAAGCGTTCTGATCTCCCCACAGCCCCTCCAACACTTGTTCTTTCCAGTGTTTTTGATTTGTGCCAGTAATGCCGGGGAGAGATGTTATCTCATTGTGGTTTTCCTTTGCATTTCTCTAATGGCTAGTGATCGCGAGCATTTCCTCATGTGTCTGTTGGCCGCTTGAAAGTCTTCTTTGATGAATTGTCTGTTCATTTCCTTTGCCCATTTTTTAATAGGATTCTTTGTCTTTTGTTGTAAAGGTGTTGGATTTTCTGGTAGATTTTAGAGATCAGACCTTTGTCTGACTTGTACTGTCCAAAATTTTTTTCCCAGTCTGTAGGTTCTCTTTATACTCTTTTAGTGAAGTCTATTGATGAGCATAAGTGTTTAATTTTTGGAAGATCCCAGTTTTCTACCTTATCTTCTGGAGTTTGCGCATTGTTGGTTATGGGTTGCATCCTGTTAATGCCATGTATTAGGGACTCTCGCCTTGATCCTATTTTTTCTTCTGTGAACTTTATAGTTTTTGGCTTTATATTTAGGTCTTTGATCCATTTGGCATTAGTTTTTGTGTATGGTGTGAAGTATGGGTCCTGTTTCTTTTTTTTGCAGATGGACATCCAGTTTTGCCAGCACCATTTGTTAAAAAGACTGTCTTTTCCCATTTGATGGACTTTGGGATGTTGTCGAAGATCAGGTGACAGTAGGTGGATGGATTTACATCTGGGTTCTCAATTCTGTTCCATTGGTCAATGTATCTGCCATTGTGCCCGTACCAGGCTGTTCTGACTACCATAGCTGTACATTAGGTTCTGAGGTCAGGTAGTGCAAGTCCTCCTATTTTATTCATCTTCTTCATTAGTGCTTTACTTATCCGGGGCTTCTTCCCTTTCCATACAAGTTAATGATTAGTTTTTCCATCTCTTTGAAGAATGTTATTTGTGTTTTGATCGGGATTGCACTGTATTTGTAAATTGCTTTCGGTAGAAATGTCATTTTCACAATGTTGAGTGTACCTATCCATGAGCATAGTATGGTTTTCCATTTATGTAGATCCCTTTGGGATTCTTACAATAGTGTTTTTTACTTTTCTGTGTATAGGTCTTTTACATCACTGGTTAGATTAATTCCTAAGTATTTTCTATTTTTAGGGGCTATTATAATTGGTACTGTTTTCCTGATTTCCTTTTCATTGTTCTCTTTATTAGTGTATAGGAATCCAACTGATTTTTGTGTGTTTGTCTTGTATGCTGCTACTCTGCTGAATCTTTGTATTAGTTCCAGGAGTTTAATCATGGAGTCGTTAGGGTTTTCTATGTATAGTATCATATCATCTGCTAATGGGGGCAGTTTCACTTCTTCATTACCAATTTGGATGTCCTTTATTTCTTTTTCTTGCCTTATTGCTCTAGCTAGGACTTCCAGCATGATGTTAAATAGGAGTGGTGATAAAGGGCATCCTTGTCTTCTTCCTGTTCTCAAGGGGAATGTTTTCAGCCGCTCTCCATTAAGAGTGATGTTGGCTGTTGGTTTTGCATAGATGCCCTTTAATATGTTGAGAGATTTCCCTTCTATAGCTATTTTATTCTGAGTTTTTATCATGAATTGGTGTTGGACTTTGTCGAATGCCTTTTCTGGATCAATTGAGATGATCATGTGATTTCTTTTATTTTTTTTAAATTTTTTTATTGTACTTAAATGAAGGTTTACAGAGCAAACAGTTTCACATTAAGCAGTCAATACAGATATTGTTTTATGACATTGGTTAACAACCCCACGACATGTCAACACTCTCCCTTATGGACCTTGAGGAACTGTTTTTTTGGTGAAAATATACATAGCCAAAGTTACACCATTTCAAAAATTTCTACATATACAATTTAGTGACATCGATTACATTCTTCCAGTTGTGCTGCTATTCTCACTATCCTTTTTCAAATTATTCCATTACCATTATCTTCAACTCACTGTCTGCTAGGCTTCCCATCTAACCTTTTGAGTTGCTGTTGTCAATTTGATCTCACATAGACAATTCTTTTTTGTGTGTGTGCCTTAGATGAAGTTTTGTAGTACAAATAGTTTCTCATTAAATGGTTAGTACATGTATTGCCCTATGTCAATGGTTAATAAACTCCATGACCTGTCAACACTGTCCACTCTCAGCCTTGGGTTCCATATCACCAGCTTTCCTGTCCCCTCCTGCCTTCTAGATGTTGTCCCTGGAATCTGTGCCTCATTAGTCCTGTTTTGTTTTATGAGGCAGTCCAATCCCAGGTTGAACAGTGAACTTCCAGAGGGGCTCCATCACTGAGCTAAAAGAGTGTCCAAGGGCCATGCTCTCGGGGTTTCTCAACTCTGTCAGGCTAGTAAATCTGGTCTATTTTTGTGAGTTAGAATTCTGTTCTACATCCTTTTCCAGCTCTGTTTAGGAACCTCTATTGTTATCCCGGTCAGAGCAGTCAGTGGTGGTACCCGGACACCATCTAGCTTTATTGGACTCAGTCTGGTGGTGGCCTTGGTAGCTGTGGTCCATTGGTCCTTTGGACTAATCTTTTCATTGTAGCTTGTTCTCTTCATTCTCCTTTGCTCTCCAAGGGGTGAGACCAGTGGAATATCTTAGATGGCTGCTCACAGGCTTTTAAGACCCCAGACGCTGCTCACCAAGGTAGAATGGAGAACATTGTCTTTATAAACTGTGTTGTGCCAATTGAGCTAGATGTTCCCTGAGACCATGGTCCCCACAGCCCTCTGCCCACCAATTCAGTCCCTCTCGGAGTTTGGAAGTGTCTATGGAGCTTCCATGGCCTTTCCTTGTACAAGCTGTGCTGTCTTCCCAGTAATGTGTACTGTCTTACCCTTCACCAAAGTTACCACTTATCTATTTAGTTCACCCCCACTCCTCCCATCCCTCCTAACCAGCTAAGATTATTTCTTTTTGTGTGTAAACTTTTACATGAGTTATACAGTAGAGGTCTCATACAAT